GGTTTAGGTCTACGGCTGTGTTTGGGAGTGGGATTCCCCACTGGGAGAAAAGCCGACCTGTGTAGCCTTGGGCAAGCTGAACAATCCCGGGGATTCCCCATCCCGACCTTGAGGAGAAGGGAAGGGGAACCTACTTCTGAGTAGTCTCTCTCTACCTGGGAAACCCTGAAAAGGATCACAAGTCAGAATTGACTTGTTAGCACACTAGGAACGAGATGGAAAATACACATAGGAGGCTCGAACCTAGAAAATGCTGTTTTTCTAGATAAAGGGTCTCAGAAACTGACATCAGGCGCAGAATTCTGCATCTTCACCTTAAAGAAAAATCCTGTGCCCTCGTAGGAGAGCAATTTTGCTTTTCTGAGGTCAAGCACCAAATGCCGCAGGGCTCGGAAGGCCCGAAGGATCGCTTTTCTTTTCTCCTGGCGGCTGCCGCCGGGGCAAGATCCAAGCGTTTCTTACCTTGTTCAAAGGGCGTGAACTTAAAATCCGGAAGGTATCGCTTCAGCTTGCTGTTGCTGGCTGTTTTCTTGAACTGCCCGTCCGACTTGGTCGTGTCAAACTGGGAAGGAACTTAGGTTAAAGCAAAAGTAAGGAGGTGGGTGGAAAACCGAGAGCAGCCCCTGAAGCTGGAAGTTTTCTGCAAGCCTATTCACCTTTTAACATTAATTATATTTCATTGACTTCTAATCCAGTTGTTTTTTTAGGGCAACCCTCACAAAAGGGTTTAAAATGAAGCTGGCGAGTACAAAGCATAATGTAAGAAAAGACAGTTCAGGAAAATATGGGATTCAGTTAGAAATGAAAGAACCTCAAATTGTTTCACGTGGATTAAAGTATTTTTCAATGGCTTTTGCAGAAATCAACTCATGAGACAAGAGGAGAAAGCAAAATGTTCTAAACAGACAAATATTGGGTGGTTTGCACCGGAGGCATCTCCAGAGGTAGAGCGGATCGCCAGCCGTCAACTGCAGTCCTTCCCAGTGGAGGGGGGGGGGGGGGCATTAGACATGGCTAGCCAGGGCAGTTCAGGACAATTCTTCCTCGTTTGATATTCTGGATTATTCATATTTTTTTGG